TGCCCGGCCGAAGCAGCATTTTGAAATACAGTAATTCTGGGGCAAGACACCTTGATAGAAGAGATCTCATAAAACGAATAACCCTCTACATGTAAGTCAGCTATGAAGAATCTGGATAAAAGTAGATTAGATGGAATCTTCTCCAGCACATGAATTCCATGGCATTACAAAGGCTAAGTTACCCCGTAAGACCCTACAGCCGATAATACATCATACTTTTCAAAGTGCTCTACTGATTAATCCTGACACTATGCCTGTGACATTTTATAGACCGAAGAAATCAATGCTGAGGTTAAAACAAAGGAATCTGTCAGTGCTGGGATTAGGATTGGAGATATCCTGAATCCCAGTCCCCTGCTCAGGCCACTAGCCCATGTCTCGCTTTCCCACTACAGTAGTGAAAAATGTAAAAGCCTGTATGATGTATGCAGAAAGTAGTACCTCAGGTGTAAGGGGTTGCTGACCCCTTAGAAATTGTGTGAGCTGGAAAAGGAACTGAGGTATGCTCAGCAGGCACCCTCCAAAATTTTTCGTGTTATTTACAACTGAACCACTCTCACTTTCATTTAGCATGGCATCTAAGCAAACACTTTTGAATCTTACAGTTCACGACACAAAATGCAATTAAGAAACTAAAATGTCAGTGAGTGGCGCTGTGACCCTGCATGAACCTTTTGAACCCCCTGCCCCGGGGCAGCCCTGCCCCCAATTGACAACCTTGTCAATGGTGCACACCACGCATAATGTGTGTACAGCTGTGGGTGCCAGTGTTTTCCAGGAGCTGACATGAACTGAGAGGAAAGCGGGGGGAGGATAGAAGGGAATGAGCTGGGCTGTAGGAGACTTTTACAGAGATGTGACAGATAAAGAAGGAAGCAGAAGAAAACGTGATTGTGTCCCAGTTGCTTCCCAAGAAGAATTAAAAGGAGCTGGGAGAACATGGGAGAGACAAAAAAGAGTTTGGTGCTAAACTGAGAAAGTGGTTTAGCACAGAGACTGATTTGCTTAATGCAGTAACATGGAAGTCAGTCACTGAGAGAGAGTCACATCCTCCATCCAACTCAGTCTACCTGCGGGTAGTTCAGGGGCAGAATTCCTGCATGGCAGCGTGAATACTTGTCATTTTCACTGGCACTATCTTGAGAGAGCAGTGGGCAAGGTAAAGTGAAGCTACGGTGCAGGTTGGCGGAGGCTGGGGAAAGGGTAGAATCCTTTTTTGCTGGAGGTACAAAATGCACTGACCCAAACGGATTGATAAGAGGGACCAAAGACGAGACACGCACTCCAGGAAGAAGCAGCACAGCACGAGGCAGTGCTGTGGAGAAGCCACCTGGGAAAAACTGCATTGCAGCTGAGGAGAGAGCAAGACAATGTTGCCAACTCTCCCACTGTGATCCCAAGTCTTGTGATAATTAGTGTTTCCCTTAATGCCCTGGTGCCTGAAGTCACATGACCACGAGAGACCCTCAGCTTCCATTTAAAAAAAAAGAAGTGAGTTTCACCCGCTACCGTTGGGGAGAAAAGCCTGCAAACTTGACCTGAGCGCACCCTAAAGGTTCCAAAACCAGAAGGCAAAGAAACCCCCCACCAATCTTATTATACTTTTAAATCTCCTGATTTTTAAGCCATGATGATTTTTTGAGGCTCGACTCACGATTTTTCAGTGCATGGGATAGGCAATACTGCACTTGTCTGAACCTCTCTGAATCCTAATCGGCTAATTGGCTGCCTCTTGTAATCCCCAGCAGGAGAGCCTGGCCCCAGTGTCATGACAACACATGCTGTATAACACTCCAGTTTAAGTCTACAGCATTTGTGAACCCAAACTGTGGGATAATGCTAGTGTCAATCCCTTATTCAGACAATCTTTTTAAAATAATACTCAAGGACACTGCTATAAAGATGGAAGGACGTGCTTAAAAACATACAGTTTAAAAAAAATAAAAACTGGATTTTCGTGCTGGCAAAGGTACAAGATTAACATCATAAGCACAATTGATAATGCACAGACAGAGGCAGGTACTGCAGACACAGAAAGGGCCCGTAAGCTGGTGTGGCCATCCTGAGCTAGAGGGATGGCTTCACGAGATGAGCGGTTAGTTAGTCACCAGGGACACTACCTTCAACTCTTAACCTCTGTGCCTTACAAGAGTGCCAACTAGTACCACTAGTGCTTGTGCATTTTCCGATATGAATTCTTTTCCTCCAGGAAATGGGCTAAGACCCACCTGATGGGCCAGGATAGACCTCAAAATGATTAGGGGTCTTGTTCGATTCTCCTGTGAAGACACGCATGGAATGCGGTATCCTGCAAATCCTACTGAGTGGAGGAACTGATATATATGAGTGAAAGGAAGCGCCAGAATGAGTGAATAAGGGGAGAAGGTGCTGCTGTGTGAACTTAAGAGACTCGATCCTTCTTGCCACTGAGCACCCTCAGCTCCCAGTGACCTCACTGAAGGCCTGTGTCTGATTCCAATGGGACTTGAGGACATTTGGCATCTTTCAGGAGGTGCTCATTACCTTGCATGAGCATGCCCGATGCAAACAAAACTGAATTTTGCTTTAAGAAATTAGAAATTCAGAGTCACGGTGGAAGTTTAGGAGCTAAGGATTAAAGTTCAAATCAAACTACTTATACGCTCGATCTCAGCTTGACTGTTCTCTGACCGCAAGAGTTCGTTTCACAGTGCCAGGAACAGCGTAAAAGGAAAAGCAATGAGGCAGAAAGAAAAAAAAATCTTCAGAAAGCAGAAATTCAGTCAGCCGTAACTCAAAAGCACCACCCTCCTGAATTATCCAGGCCACAGCTCCCCTACCACAATGCTGGAGCAGTGGTTCCATAGTGACTCAAGAGCCATCCACACCATTTCCTCAGTACCTGGGTATTCCTTGGAGGGCTCCAATCCATATACTGACCATGCTCAACCCTCACTTCACATACAAGACCTGACAAGAACACGGACTGAGTAGGCAGGGCTGTGTGGGTTATTCTCATTCACACTTGCAGTTGATCCAAGGGTCTCCCCCTGCATTTGTATCGACAGCACAAATGTTGATGAATCCAGATCTCTCAGAAGACAGAAATATCCAGGATTTATGAGCTGTGTCACTTCAGATACTGATGCTTTCCTTAGTCTTTTGTCAGAATAATGACTCAAGATTATGTTAATGAGACTAAAACAACATCACAGGCTGATAGGCAGGGGGCTTGCATTATGACAGTATTGTTTACTGCAGTGGTTGCCAGCCACTGGTACATATGTCAGCGCTGATAGTAAAAAGTTACACGATTGGCATGCTTGACCACCCTTCCCTACCTTAATGATGAGCCTCCAGTCAGATGTGTGCCTCATAAGCCACCAAGTAGCTTGTGCTGGTGGTTTCATGAAGCTTAGGCTTAGACTACACACCACTGTATGAGAGATGACAGGCAATGCCGACCTTGCACAGCCCAGATCTTTGCTTGGTGTTACCTCTAGAGGCTGGAATGACCATTGTAATCGAGACACTGACCTGTCTGCTCAAGTGCCAGATTTCACAGTTCATACAGAAATGCTGGGGTCATCTGATTCCAGATCATACACTGCAACCAGTGCCCAAAAGTGGACATGGGGCAAAGAGCCAAAATAAGGGACACATGAGAAAATGAGCAAGGCACTCAGCTGACAAATGGAGGTGGGATTTGCTGCTAGCATAAAAACCTCTCAGCGTGTTATAACCTCTGTTCCAGGACTTAGTGTTTCTGGTGTCTAGAATGCACAAGAACAGAAGTGCAGGCTGGCCAGATCTGGGTGGAATGAGGGAAATCCGGGTCTAAAATGGAGGGACAGGCCTCAAGCTGAGGATATTGCTCAGCAGGGTTTGAGTCATTGTTTTCCATTCCTCACGATCCTTTGTGTGAAAAACCAACATTTTGCTTCTCCACTCAGGGTGTCGAGCCATCCAGTGGTGTCGATTTTTTTGCTCATTTTACAGCAGTTTTCAGTTTTGACCACATGGGTGTACAGTGCCTGCCACAGATCCTAGGGGACCAACTGAAGCATACAGCCAGAGCTTTTACGCTTCTCTTGGAAATCGACAAACATCTCATGCACATATGTATAGGTCTCATATGGAAAATGCTTCATAACAGAAATGTTTGCTCCACAGGGAGAACAGCAGCCATTCCCCTCACCAAGACCTTCCCCTGTTCCCTCTGTGCATTTCCCTCACTGTGACCTTCTCCAGCACTTCCATCTATTCTCCTTACTGTAACTTTCCCCTGTGACTCCATCCATTCCTCACCGTGACCCTCCCCACTGACACCTCCCGTCCATTCCCCTCAATTTGACCTTGCCCTCTGTCCCCTCCACCTATTCGCCTCACTGTAACTTTCCTGTGCCCCCTATCCATTCCTCACTGTAATGCTCACCAGTCCTGCTTTCTACTGTTTCCCCTTCAGTGGTACACTCATCCTCACTTACTTTCCTCCCCCCACATTACTTCCTGCTTCCATTGGTCCCTCCCTGGGACAACCATTCCCACTCGGCTTCATCTCCAGTCCCACCTTTTGGGCTTTTTCTTGGCCAGATCCTTCCCTCTGACCTCCGCACCCAACATCATCACGTCCTGCCAAAATATCTTCAAGCTCTGATGCAATGTCATAACATCATTATGTTTCATGGCTCTGATGTCTGGTTTTATGACTGGTGAAAATTCCTGCAGGCTCCACCTAATAAAACTGGGACAACCCAAGAAATCTTGAGACAGCCGGAAACCCTGTTTCTTGCAGTCTCCCCTCATTGTAACTAGCCTGGAAAAATAAACTCTACCCGGTCTAAATTTCAGCTCTATTCCCGCCTCCCTGCTACAGTGTCCATCATTTCCCTCTTTGTGTGAGTTGCTGTCTTCCAGCCCTGGAATATATTTGGGATGGCTTCATTCGAAAGATGCTCCGCACTGAATGCCTCATCCTCACTGTGCACTGAAGAGCCCTGATTTCATGTGGGTTTCATTACCTTTTTGCAGAGAACCATCTGGTGATCAAAGAGGAAGAAAACGCGCTGCTGGTTCCGTCCATAAGGCTGATAAATCCAGGACATCTCCCCGGTGTAGATCAACTCGGAGCTCCGATCCAAGATGTCATCTCCCTAGGGGGCACAGAGAACAAGGCAGAGTGAGCCCCTTTGCCAAGCCAGATGTATGCAGGCATGTGGGGTGGAGTGGAGAGAAGCATTGATTCAGGGGGATTCTCTTACCACTAGATAACATCAAAGCACCACTGTTTATTTTTTAACCAGAAAACTAGAGGTGAAAATTTAAAAAAACTGATTGGGGGAAAGAAAGAGAAAAATGCAGAGATTTTGTTTCTATTAATTGATTCAGATTGAAAGTGAAAGAAGAGACAGCAGCACGGTCAGAACAATCCCCCACTCAGGTTGACAAACCCTACTTCCCCCACAGCGTCCCCTCTTACACCATAGGCTCCCTTCCCAGGATGCCAGAGCCCCCACCTCCACCAATGCCTCTCACAGGCTGTGAGTATCCTCACTGGCCTTCACAAGCTTCCAGAGCTCCCTGCATCACCCACAGGCTCCCCTCACAGCCTTCCAGGGTCCCTGCTTCCCATCACAAACTGCCAGAGCCCCCTTTCACAACACAGTCTCCCTTCCATGCTGACTGAGTCCCCCTCTCCCACAGCTGGTCAGATTCTCAGCTATGGAGGCTGTCAGAAGAAGCCAGTAATGCAGTTTCTGAAGGGCTACCTTCAGGCAGGGCTGTGAGGGGAACTACCCACTCTTTAACTTATCAGAGCTGTCCCGTTCAGGCCATCAAGGCTATTCCCTCCTTCCCATTGGGCAGCATATAAGAGCCCCTCCACGCACTGGCCACTGGAGCAATTTCTCTCCCTTCAGGCTCTCAGGAGATCTCCTCATCTCAAGCCCCCCCATGCAGGGCTGGGCATCAGGGTAAACCAAAACAGACTGTCAGTTCCCTGCCTCCTGGGGCTGTCAAAGCCTTTCCTTACAAATTGCTAACCACTCCCCCTTTGCAGGGGATTAGAGCCCCCAGCCCAAGATGTCAGGACCACCCTTGTTCAGGGTGGCAGCATCCATCCCCACATGCTGTCAAAGCCCCCCGTTGCAGGCTGCCAGAATGCCTTCCCCCTTCTTTTCCCCCCCTCAGGTTAAAGCTTGTTTTCCTCTCCAACATTTTTTCTTAAAGGACTCATGAGCAGATGGTCTTGAAAACACAGCTCCTCTCCCACTCTCAGAGAGAACAAATCCATTCACCCTCTGCTAATTGGGCTGAGGTTTGGGTTTTTTGGGGGGGAGAGGTGTTTGAGTTAATTAAAATCTATTTATTGAAACAGGTGAATTCTCCACCACCTGCACTGTGTATCTGTCCTATTCTGTGAGCTCTAGATGCACCCCTTTCTCAAGCTTCACAGGCAGACTCAGAAGGGCTCTGGCTACAAGGCAGGGGCAGGACTGAGAAACAAGAGTTAAAATGCGAGTAGACAGTTGTTTGGATCTGGATCCAGATTAGGTGCTGGATCTGAGGCTGGACCAGGGCTCAGTTTAGGGATAGATGATGATGAACAGCTAGTAAGGCTTCAGCCTGATATGGTGGAAATCTTGTGGGAATAGCTGTTCTCGTGCCATGTCAGTCACATCCAAATGGGCCCCCTTCTGGATTTGCATGTGCAGGTAGAACCAAAACTGAATCCTCCCCCACAGTTTCTTTGTGGGGGGAGGTTAGCCTTGAAGCCCAGTTCAGGCCAATCCGTAGTTAAGATCGCCCATTTATTCTAAATGAATGTTTGGGTCCAGTGACAAGGGAAAATTCACTGAGTCGTAACTAATGCATTGTCACGGAGCGTTCAGTTCCCACTGCTGCAGCAACGGCAACACAAACTCCGGTGCAGCTTTAGAGAGGTATTTTTCTGTCTATCTTGCGCTCATCACCATGGTCTCTGTGCATCTCATCAGAGCTAGCTGAGCCCTGCACACTTGCACAGACCAGGGAGTAGAGCTGCTTGTATGTCTTCTGGCACCCCAAATGAGTTCAAAATAAGAGTTAGGAATTAGGCTGCTTTGCCTGCTGGTCAGAGCCTTCTGCTTATAGAGGCCATGGGTTGTACACATGTTGCTGAGGCTCTACAAATAGCAGAAGGAACCTTGAACAAGGAACCTCTCAAAAGCCTGGGGGCTCCAGAAATCACTGCCCTTGCTTAGGATACATCCAGTTATGCAACGAGGGTGGATTCATACAACGCTTTCGATAATAATTTTTCATTGCAAGGAAGAGGTTGCTTGCTAAAAATAGAAAGCAGGCTTTGTGAGACTGGTTGACTCCAGTGGTAGCATCCAAAGCCTGAGGACTCAGAGAGGACTCTGCAAACACTGATAAACTGCTTGATTAACTGAATCCAAAGTGTGTAGTCCCTGCAAGGGATGTAAAAATGAGATCTAAAATTATAGGGTTTTTATTACATTGTGTATGCTGGGAAAACAATTTAAACAGTATATGGGCTATAAATAGATGCATTCCAAGGTTGTGTTTGTTAGGGAAGATGCATTGCAGCTAGCTTTAGCTTAATTAATACACAACTGACCTGTGTTCATCGCACAAGCAGCAGCACAAAGTGAGGCGTGCTTTCCCAGCACGGCCCTCCTAGCATTCCTCCTGTAAGCACAGCAAGGGTATGTCTACACAACAGCTGGGAGCGTGCTTGACCTAGCGTGCTAAAAATATACGTGTGGCTATGGTGTCACAGGCAGCGGCTCGGACTAGCCACCTGAGTGCATGCCCAGGGAAATGGGTGGGTTTGTACTCAGGTGTCTTGCCATACTGCTATTTTTAACACGCTAGCTCTACTCGAGCTAGCATGTGTCTGTCTACCCACGTTGGGAAGCCTGCTCCCAGTTGCTTTGTAGACATACCCTAAAGGTACGTGGGTCTCTCCCAACAGAATTAAGGTGGGATGCTGAGGCTCTAAGGGACTGTGTAGTCTAGTCATGTGGACGGAGGCAGCCAGCTCACGTCCACTAGGGAGGAACTCTCTTGTGACCATTTAGTATTCAGCACTGAACAGTCAATGCTGGTACATGGTTTCCTTTAGTCCAAAGCAAAGCCCAAAAAGAATATTCACTTTCTTCTCCTTTTCCGTAAGCAGCCATGAGCCTACCTCTCCTACGTAGCCAGCCTCATAGACTGAGAAAAACTGCTGAAGACAATGAGGGTAGAACCTCAGCAGCTGTGAACTGGCATAACTCCACTGACTTCAGTGCAGCTAGCCCAGTTCACAGCACCTGAGGATCTGGCCCAACAAATCGACTGACTCAAAGTGGAGGAGGTCTGAAATCACTCAGGGACACATTGGTAGACCTGTGCGCACAAAACTGCATGCACATAATTTATCTCGGCAGCTGTGTATGCAACTTCCATTGGTGTGTTTTATGGTGGTAATTATAGGCAATTCCGGTGGCAAGTAGAGGTATTTTATCATGGCAACCGTGCATTCAAATTTTGACTGAATTTTCTGAAAATTTGGCCCTTGTTAGGGGTGAAACTCAGTTTCTAATATGTGTGGCCGAGCAACTGTGATAATGCATCCCTTCTCCTCCCCCAAACCAACCAGAGACTTTTATACATTAACCGCAATGTAATGGCTACACAAAGACTAATACAGAGCCTGGATCTGATCCACAACTACACAGCCTATAGCTATGGGTGTGTGAGTGTGTGTGCGTTTGTGTGTGTGTGTGTGTGCGCACACTCTAAGTCCCATACACAGCCTATGGAGAGGTATATGTCCTGCTCCAAGTTAAGTGTAGAAAAAAGGAAGCCAAATTCTCATTTCTCCTTCAAGCCGTCAAGGGCAGGGCCTGAGCACTTAGCGTGCAGTAGGATAGACCAGAAGGTCAACCAGTTGAAGGCTGAGACTGTGCTTCATGCTCCCTGTAGTCTGCAAGCATCACAGAAGTGACACACAAGGTCCGGAGGGCCAGTTCCAAGGGCTGCAGGGGAGGGTCTATGCCTGGGTGACTGATGAAAGTTGTCAATCATCAGCTTCCCAGCTATGCCATAGGTGAGCATGGCTTTCCATAACTAGGAAGTGGAGGAAAGCCGAGGGGAGGGAGGGTGGAAGGGCTTCAAATAATGACCAAAGAAGAAACAAGAGTTGAGAACACCAGCATTCCAGGGAAGAACCCTTTAGCGTGGACAGAAGGACATTGTCCCCCACATGACCAAGAGGGCCTCTGAGTAAACATTACCAAAGGCTGGGGAAAGATGCTTAGCTTCTGAAAATCATTCATCCCCTCCCCGTCCCCAGCCCACCTCCTGATACAAGTCCATGCTATTACTGCCAGGCAAAGAATCGCCTTTCAGTGAGCAGGGCCTTTTCTGACTGACACTGCTGTGCTCTAATTAGGGACTGATAATCTGATTTGCGCTCTAGGCGGTGGAAAGATCAGCAAAAGAAAAGCAAGCAAAATGTCATCCTTTTCATCAGGCTCACTTTTGATGCCTTCTGTCGCTGAGGGGGAAAAAAAACCTGTTTCAGTCCCAGATTTGATTTTTCCCAGGAGGTTTTCTCCTCAAACTGTTCTAGGTTTGAAAACAGTGCGTTCATTGCACGCATCATTTCTGTATGCCAGTCTTTGGGTTCCATAATGCAGCATCAAGCTGAAGCCAACTATTATATATTACATAGTTAAGGGCAATGAATCTTCCATTACAGGATCCATCTGGAACAAGAACTGAAGAACATGTAAAAGGATGCAATTGTCAGTTATATTTTTCTTATTCTTTTTTTCCTTCCTGTGAATCTAAGCCTCTTGGAAACTGCTACACTGACACCCAGTAAATACACGGTGCAAATGTCTAGGATTCTACTGGGCTCAGAGTAGCAGCCGTGTCTATAGAGGATGAAGTCCTTTGTTTATGGAATGGGCAATGACAATTCAAGCTTCTTTTAGACCGATGAGCTAGATTTCCTCTTGTGCCAAGTGTTCTGCCATTGGCTTAAGGTCTTTCCTGGAGCCTGTACCAGTGGAGGATTCTAATGGCCAGGTGGAGTTCTGACACACTGCCTTTCACAAGCGCCCACGTTACAAGGGAGGACAGAGTTTTATTGAACTGC